TCATTTCTGATGAAGGGTCTAGGCCCGAAACGTCAGCCTCTCTGCTCCTATGATGCTGCTTGGCCTGCTGTGTTCATCCAGCCCTGCACCTTGTTGTCTCATGTTACATCCTCTCCCTTCTCTTCTACTCACGCTATCACATTTAGGAGTAGTCGGTGTTACCTTACATCATAGCCCTAATATTGTTCTACATAGCACCTGATGAACTTTGCAGGCACTTTAGAAACATTTTTCTTTGGTGAAATTGCCAAGCAGATCTATAATGATCCATGACCTACTTTTGCATGGGTTAGTTTGTTCACTTGACTAGATGACTAGAGTGTGATGCAAAATAAAGCCACCAGCATGGGTTCAGTCCCCTCATCAAGCTGTGGTGGTTCATGGACACCTGCTTCCTTGCCTTACTCCATACTTGTATAGTGGTTACCTTCAAGCTATACATAGCTAATTGTCTCTTGCTAATGCAGAGAGATGCCTATGGCTCCTCACCTCATTTTTGCAAGGACCCATTAGATGGTCTTCTCAGCTGCAAAAGCTTAACACTAGAATACAGCTACTATTGTGGAGTCCAATTGATCATTATAGGCAGCTTGCTCCTTCGAAAAGAAAACTATGACACATTTTGAACAAAAGGAGGTAACATGAGCAACATCCCAATGAACATTTTACATTTAACCTGATGTGAAAGCTCATGGTCTGGAACCTATGAAAGCCACGTAGTGAGTTGCATGCCTCAGCAAAACTCATACAGCTTGACACCACCTGGATAGAATATTTATGCCAAAATGCAGAGAAACCCTGAAGCAATTTATCCCCAGAAATAGGGAAAGCAAGTAAAGGAAACAAGATAGAATGGCCCTACTACTCCATTAGCTCTGATGAATTACCCGCTGTAACTTACTGCAGAGCTTTGTGGTGGGTGGCCATAGCTCATGCCTGAATTAAAAAGTAGTCCTGTTTGCCATTCAAATTGACTTCCTAATGCTAATGTTGTAGTTGGAATCTTGATTGCAATTTGAAGGTGCCTGTGAGCCAACCTGCAGTGCAAGCATACTACCCATGGATATGACATTTCCATAAGGAAACAGTGAAAAAGAAAATAGAAATTGTTCAGCTTCAGAAGGGTTTCACCTCTTTGGTCAGGAATACTGAAGGCCATTGCAAATCTGGGTGGTGTTGTCCCTACTCTGTGTCTCTTCACTCTGCTCCGAGCACCAACCTCCAGGCAATTCCTGTTAACCCTTCCACCTGCCATTCCTGAGACGGAAGAACATGGAGCAACATCAGGACCACTTATTGAGGATCCAAATTTTGCCTATCAAATCAAATTCAAATGAGAATGAGGCCTATCAGCCATCCAAAAATTAAGATGTTAAGAGGAACTTTCAGTAACAGTGGTAGACTTATACAGAACTATAGGGCTGAATGTTTCCATATTTTAGTTAAGTGTCAATTTTGGGGACACTCTATGAGTCCTGACAACTCTTCTCAAGCAATTGTCCTCTAATTATCTCATTAACCTACACAGTACTCAGCACTACTTTCACAAAGTCCTTTGGTCAGCAGAGGCAGATGTACGTAGTAGTTCTGGGGCTTGCAGTGTACAAACCCCAGAGTCCATGTTTAACCTCCTGCTGTGTACCATTTCTCACCAGTGGCACTCACATCCAATAAAAATCTCAGTCATCCCCTGCAATTTCCCATTTACCCCCCTATGGGTTGCAGTCACTGGCTTTTGAACTAAACAAGTGCAGCTTTCCTTTTGACCTACAACAAATTTATGATCAATGGGTAATAACTGTATCCAACTCAAATCCATCGGAAACGAGTGTCAACTAAATCCTATCTGGCTGGTTGTATCTGACATTGCACTGCTCTATCATTTTGTTCTACCTACTCAATGCCCTCATTTTCCTCCACAGAAGATTGCTGCCACTCTCCTAGCCCTTCAGTGTTCATTGCATCCTCTCTTTGCCTGCTCCAATTGGGCACAGCACAACATGCTAAGATTACATGGCATACTCTGTCTGGACTGTACTGTAAGGCAATTCCAGACTGATCCAAGTATCAGAACCTCATCTTTAACAGGCCTACCATCTGCTCCATGATGACTCTGGTGGAAGAATGGTCTGTGTTGTAGCTACACGCTGCCTCAGTCAGGGGATTGTATAACTGAGTTGTCAAAAACAGTTCCAGAGGGTAGCCCTTGTCTCCTAACAACCAACTGTAAGGCATCCAGGCCTTGAAATGAAGCAAGAACCTGAGAGTTATCAAGGATATTGGCATCATAGCAGCTTCCAGAGTGTCTTGCATTGAGAGATACGACACAGGTCTCATGCGAATCCTTGGAAGTAGCCAGTTGTATCAAAATTAAGAGCTGCTGTCACATAGACAGACTTTAGGAGAGATGGCTACCCACCCCTTCAGACCTCAAGCAGATGACACAGTTCTGTGACAGTCACCCAGAATGTTCTTAGTCAATGGCACTAATGCCCTTCACTTATGTGAAGGAATGATATCAAAGACAATATAATCTGGGACTCCTGTGCCACCTCTACATTCTGACAGGACCTTCTTCATGTGGAGGCTATTTGGCAGCTGCTGGAGATTGCTGCTAGTCCTATGCTTGCTGGCATCTTAGTTTCTCCCCCGTTTCTCTACACCTGCCCTTAGATGTTGGCCAATATGGATGCCTGCAGAATATTGGCCAACATGGATGCCTGGAGAAGACACTGGTGAACTGAAGCTGCCAGGTAACTGTTCTAACTTTCAAGTCAGGAATCAGCCACCCATAATTTTTCACTGGTAGCTGGGAGAATAGAAATCTGCATAGAAATGAGGTGAGATTAGATTGCAATGAGATGTTGGTGTATTCAAGCAGTCCCCTCAGATTCTTGGCTAACCATGGAAACCATTAGGAGAAACTTTAATTTTTCTTACCTCAACATTGAGAATCTATGAAATTCTAGCTGTATTTGTCCAACATACTTGCTATTGTCCACATTGCTCAGATGCTGGGAAATTCCACTCATAAATACAGGTGGAAAACAAAAAAATAACTATAGAGACAGACGTTAAAATGTACTTCAAAACATGTTATTTGCAATTGTTTGACACTTCTCATGTATGTCCCAAGAACTGTCCAAGGAAGTATTTTTGAAATGTAATCACAGCAAACACTGAGCAAATTGACACATAGTAAGTTCTCAGTTATTGAATTGAATCCTTTATTGACACATATTCAGTGTAAAAATACAGTGAAAAGTGTGTACCTTCGCCATACATACATGGTGCCATTCACATTAATTTAGGGTGAGATAAGAAAAGTAACTTAAGAGAGTCCAAGTTTCCTTTCCACTGCTGCAGTCCCACTCTGGGCTTTCCAGCCCAGTTAGAAGATATAAGACCAGTTCATACTCAAAAGTAAACTGCTACACAAAAATTGTTACCATTTCCATTAAATATTTTATTATAATTTATATTTGCCTATTTCAAATGTTTCTCATCACTTTTATGTCTATACCTTTTCCTCTTGATTCTTGTACCCTGATACAATTTCATTATTTTTCAGGAAAGCTGCTTGGTCTCTCATAAACGTA